TGACCCCCCAGAGGGCCCCGAGAGGCAAACATGGCCTCGTTCTCTTCGTAAAACGTACAGGTACCGCATTCGTGTTTTCGTCTTAGCACCGTGCTTGCCCCCAAGAGGCCCCCAAGCAGAGGCTTCCAATGTATATATTTGCCGGAGGAAGGGGATCGGGGCCGCCGGGCCGGTCCCTGCGTCCCCCATGGCCGACCCGGGGCTCCGGGAACGCTCCTGTCCAGGCCAACAGGCGGCCAAAACGTGCCCAGGGAGGCGCAAGTGGCCCCCAAACCGGTCCTAGACGGCCCCGGGGCGCTCAAAGATCGCCCTTGGACGCTCAAGATGGCTCCCATAGAGCCCAAGAAGCCGCAACAACGCCCCAAGTTGCTTTCCAAGAGAGCCCCGAGCGCCCCAAATCATTGATTTTGCATGGGAAAGCGTGCATTTTCAGCATCTACGTTTTTTCGGTCTTCGCGGCTTGCACGACGGTGCAAGAGGCCCCCCACGACGGACCCAATACGGTCCAAGAGGCCCCCAACACGGCCCAAGAGGGGCCCAAGACAGCCCCAGAGGCGGCCAAGGCGTGTCAAGAGGCGGCCAAGACGTGTCCATGGAGCCCCAAGAAGCCCCAAGAGGCTCCCAAGTCGGTCCAAGACGGCCCCAGGGCTTTCAAAGATCGCCCCTGGACACCCAAGATGGCTCCCATAGAGCCCAAGAGGCCGCTACGATGCCCCAAGAGGCTTTTCAAGGGAGCCCCGAGCGCCCCAAATCATTGTTTTTGTATGGGAAAACGTGCATTTTTAGCATCTACGTCTTTTGGGTTTTTCGCGGCGTGCACGACGGTACAAAAGGCCCCCACGACGGCCCCAAGACGGCCCAAGAGGCTCCCAACACGGCCCAAAAGGATACCAAAACAGCCCCAGAGGCGGCCAAGGCGTGCTCAAGAGGCGGCCAAGACGTGTTCACGGAACCCTAAGAGGCTCCCAAGTCGGTCCAAGACGGCCCCAGGGTTTTCAAAGATCGTCCCTGGACACCCAAGATGGCTCCCATCATTGATCTTGCATGGGAAAACGCATTTTTTAGCATCTACGACCCTTTTGTTTTCACGGCGTGCACGACGGTACAAGAGGCTCCAAAGACGGCCCCACGAGGCTACCAACACGGCCCAAGACAGCCCGAGGGGCGGCCAAGGCGTGGCCAAGGGGCCCATGAGGCTCCCAAAACGTTCCATGGCGGCCCTGGAGCGCTCAAAGCGAACCCTTGGACGGCCAAGACGGTTCTCACAGTGCCCAAAAGACCGCGAAGACGCCCCAAGAGGCCCCCACCTCCCGCCTGCGCGTTCGACGTCGTCTGCCTGCTTCCCGCCTCCTCTCCCCCCTCCTCTGGGCAGCAAAGCCTGCCCGGGAGCAGCGTGCAGCCACGGTTGTTGTAGTTCGGGTGCTCTGAGCGGGACGCGAGGCAGAGTCTGCGCCTGGAGGTGTTGCCAGTATTCGCCTCCGCGGGGCCATTGCCCAGGAAAAAACTGTCCAAGAGGGTCCCAAGAGGCCAGAATCATTGATTTTGCATTTACAAAACGTATATTCTTAGCATCTACGACCGCGGTGACGACGGTACAAGAGGCTCCCAAGAGAGTCCCAAAACGGCCCAAGAGGCTCCAAAGACGTCCCGAGAGGGGCACCCCAAAAGGTCCCCAATACTACCTAGGAGAGCTCCAAGACGGCTCCAGGACGCGTTTCGACGAAGTTTGATTCGATTTGGCCTTGACCTCGGCTAGAACCAAAGCGCGCGCTTCGCGCGCGCGATGGTTCTAGTATATATATATATATGTATACATGTACATATTCACATATGTATATATGTATACATGCATATATGTATATATGTATATATGTGTGTATGTATGTATGTATATATATATATATAGATGTATATATATATATATATATATATATGTGTGCCGGCGGAGGGGGATCGGGGCCGCCAGGCTGGCCCCTGCGTCCCCCATGGCCGACCCGGGGCTCCGGGAACGCTCCTGTCCAGGCCAACAGGCGGCCAAAACGTGCCCAGGGAGGCGCAAGTGGCCCCCAAACCGGTCCTAGACGGCCCCGGGGCGCTCAAAGATCGCCCCTGGACGCTCAAAATGGCTCCCATAGAGCCCAAGAAGCCGCAACAACGCCCCAAGTTGCTTTCCAAGAGAGCCCCACGCAACCAAAATCATTGATCTTGCATGGGAAAGCGTGCATTTTCAGCATCTACGTTTTTTCGGTCTTCGCGGCTTGCACGACGGTACAAAAGGCCCCCACGACGGCCCCACGACGGCCCAAGAGGCTCCTAACACGGCCCAGAAGGAACCCAAAACAGCCCCAGAGGCGGCAAAGACGTGCTCAGGAGGCGGCCAAAACGTGCCCACCGAGCCCCAAAAGGCTCCCAAATCGGTGCAAGACGGCCCCAGGGCTCTCACAGATCGCCACTGGACACCCAACAGGGCTCCCCAAAAGAAAACCCAAGAGGCCGCTACGACGCCCCAGGAGGCTTTCCAAGGGAGCCCCGAGCAGCCAAAATCATTGATTTTGCATGGGAAAGCGTGCATTTTTCAACATCTTCGGCATTCACGGCGTGCACGAGGGTACAAGACGCCCCCACGACGGCCCCAAGACGGCCCAAGAGGCTCCCAACACGGCCCAAAAGGATACCAAAACAGCCCCAGAGGCGGCCAAGGCGTGCTCACGAGGCGGCCAATACGTGCCCACCGAGCCCCAAAAGGCTCCCAAATCGGTGCAAGACGGCCCCAGGGCTCTCACAGATCGCCGCTCGACACCCAATAGGGCTCCCAAAAAAAACCCAAGAGGCCGCTACGAGGCCCCAAGAGATTTCCCATGGGAGCCCCAAGCGGCCACAACCATTGATTCTGCATAAGAAAAAACGTGCGTGTTTTGCATATACGTTTGTTCGGTTTTCGCGGCGTGCACGAGGGTACAAGAGGCCCCCACGACGGCCCCAAGACGACCCAAGAGGCCCCCAACACGGCCCAACGGGGGCCCAAGGCAGCCCCAGAGGCGGCCAAAACGTGCTCAAGGGGCGGCCAAGACGTGTCCACGGAACCCCAAGAGGAGGTCCCAAGAGGCCAACATCATTGATTGTGCATAGGAAAACGAATATTCGTAGCATCTACGAGTTGTCGGTCTTCACAGCGGTGACGACGGCACAAGAGGCCCCGAAGACTGTAAACGGCCCAAGAGGCTCCAAAGACGTCCCGAGAGGGGGCCACGACACCCCAAGAGGTCCCCAATACGACCTAGGAGAGCTCCAAGACGGCTCCAGGACGCTGACTCGATTTGTCTTTCACCAGCGTCTATTTTTGGCATATGCGTTTTTTTGTCCATTAATGGCGTCCACGACGGCCTCCGAGAACCCCAAGAGCGCCGCAAGACATCCCAACAAGGTCCTCCAAGACGGCCCAAGAAGCTCCCAGGATCTCCCCGAGACGCCCCACAGTGCCCTCCAAGACGACCTCAGTCGCCTGTGGATCCCAGATCGCTCTGAGACAGTCCAAGAGGCCCACAAGACACCTCACCCCGCACCCCTCCCCGCTCCTCCCAGATCGTTCCCATTCCTTCCCATCCCCCCCCGCTCCAGGCAAGTGTGCTCGAGGGTGTTGCGTCTCTGGCCGCGAGATCCTGCCAGTGCATACCTACATGTACGACCACCCTTCGGGTGATAAGGAGGTTGTGTGTGGTGGTGGGAGGGGAGGAAGGGGGACCAACTGGAGCTACAACATAGCATTGCATCGCACAGCATAGCATAGCTTAGCATCGCACAGCACAGCATAGACGAGCATCGCGTAGCATAGCACAGCATAGCATTGCATCGCATAGCATGTCACAGCATCGCATCGCATCGCACAGAATAGCATATCATCGCATGGCACAGTATGACGTAGCATGGCATAGCATATCATCGCATCGCACAACATAGTATCGCATCGCATCACACCGCATAGCGTAGCATCGCATTGATAACATAGCGTAGCATTGTACAGTATGGCATAGCACAGCACAGCACAGCATCGCATGGCGCCAGACACGACGGGACACCGCAGGACACCGCCAGACACCCCCATGCACCGCCGGCCAATCGGGAGGGACACCACGGGACACCGCGGGACACCCCCGGTCCACTGTTGACCAACCGGGGGGCACAGCAAAATTTGGCCCGGTTTTGCCGTGAGCACAGATGGTTCTTTCCTCTCGCCTTCCGGCGCAGCTTCGCCGCGCCCAAACGCGCGACACGAACACGAAACCGAACACGATTTCCTGGCGGGGGGGCTCCTGTTCACTTCGATCTCTTTCCCAACCTCGGATTCTGTCACATCACGGGACACAGCGGGACACCCCCGGGCAACCACTGGCCAATTGGGGGGCGCAGCAAAATTTTGATCGGTTTTGCCTAAGCACGGCGGGTTTATTCCTCTCGCCCGCCGACGCAGCTTCGCCTTGCCCACACGCACGACACGAAACCGAAAACGACACGAAACCGAAACGCCCACACACACGCCACGAAGCCGGCTCTTGGCGGGGGGTCTCTTGTTCACCTCGATCTCTTTCCCAACTTCGGATTCTATCTGCTTGCTGCGGAGACACTCGTTTGTTTCGCTCCGCCTGGCTCCTCCTTCCCCCCCCCTCCTAGGGCTCGAGGACGGCCCAACAGGACCCCAAAAACGGCCCCAGAGGTTCCGGAGTCCGCCCAAGAGGGCCCCAAGAAATCCCAACGGGATTTCAAGAGAGGGCCAAGAGAGTCCGCTGGGCCGTCTTTGGACGGGCTTTGGGCGTCTTGCGGCTGTTTTGAGGCGGTCTCTGGCTCAGGGCGCCGTGGAGCCGTGGAGCAAAGTGCAGAGGGCGCGAGTTTGTGCGGGTGCGCGCGGCAGGGGGGCGTCGCTCCCAGAGAACAGCAGAAACATTTCCCGAACGCCAACAAGCGCTCTCACATGGCCCCAACGTGCCTGCGACAGGGTGGCGGAGTTTCACTGTTGGCGTTCGAATGTTCAGAAAGGGAATTGGTCGACGCCTCAGTATGTGTGCCGTTCACGCCAAGGCACGTCAGGCTGCAATGCTGGCTTGCAGGTGAAGTCCGTCTGCGGTCAGCCCAGTGAATTTGATGCATTCCTTTACTTTCAAGAGCTGGTCGCTCCACCTCGCGCGCACATCCTTACACAATCGACCACTGCCCGCGAGGCGGTTGTGTATCCTGCGCGAGACCCCGCTAGTGCAGCTTCTTTCTGTTCACCGCGGAGGCGATCGTTTAATTCATTACAGGCCTCAAGAACGATTTCTGGCAGCGTCCGACGGGTCAGGAACGCTTTCAGACAGCCAAAGAGGCCGGGGCAATGCGGAAAGATGGCTGCCGCGGGGCACGCGTGCACGGGTGCGCTGAACTCCTTGTGGGGCACCATCCGCGTGAAGGGTCGCGCGAACACGCCCATTGAGGCCGCAGGTGGACCTCCTCCGGGCACGCCCCGTGCCAAGCATGTTCCGAAATGGGCGCGGGGGCGCCATGCAAAGCTGCCCGTTCTGGAGCATGATTCGCGTGACATGTGTGCCGACATTGGCGGGGGGGGGCGTTGTTCGAACCTTCCGGGCCTTCAATTCGGTGGTGCCCCTTGTGGGCCGGGGTGTACCGCCATGCCGGGGGGGGGGGGGGCGCATTGCGAACCTTGCTTCGGGGGCCGTGGGTGGAGATCCCTGTGGGCCACGATCACAATCCGTGTGCGAGGTGTGCCGAAGTAGGCGGGACGGCGGGATGCGAACCTTGTCTTTGGGGCCGTCCGTGGATGTCCTTGCGGGCCACGATCCGTATGAGAGGTGCGCCGAAGTGAGCGGGCCGATGTTATGAAGCTCCCCTCTGGTGCCGCAGATGCATTTACTTGCAGAACAAGGTCCTCGTGAGGGGAGTGCCACTGTGCGAACTTCGTCTCTGGGGATGGAATCACGTGGGTCGCCCTGAGGGACGCGATGCCTGTGAAGGGTGTGCCGGCATGGGCTTGGGGACCCAAGCCTGTCTGATGGGCCGCAGGTGGAGCCCCTGAGGTGCACGATCCTTGTGACAATCAATTTCCTCCGATGCCGAACACTTTAGACTACAACTGGGGCTCGCTGAAACCTAAGCGCGCGCGATGCGCGCGCGTCGTTCTAGTGGTATATATCGAGGACGTCCCTGGCGAGTCACCACCCACTCTGCCGCCGAAGCTCAGGGCCATCTGCGGGCCGCCGGAACGGCATCGGGGCCCCTCTTGGGACCCGGCGGGCTCCTCTTGGGACCTCACTGTCATTCTTGTCAGCCTTCCTCGTTGAGCCGCCCTGGGGCCGTCTCGGGGCACCCTGGTCCTCAGACCGAAGGGCGGCAAAGCAAGCTTCGTAAATGCAAGGTTCGCTGCCCACGCTCCCTCCTAGTCTTCGGTGAAAAATATAGTGTTTGACGATTTGAGCTTTTGAGCTTGAACTATCCACCCCCAGGGTTCTCAAGACGGCCCACGGTACTCCCTAGAGGAGCCCATGACCCGAGACCTTTATATGCCCTGTCGGAGCCTTGGATCCTCAACCACAGATTCCTGAATGCTTGGGCACCGCTAGGTAATTGAGGACACTTCAGTGCCTGCCCACGGCACAGTGCTTAACACATGCTATCTGTGATGGCCCCTCATCTCGGTCGGCCATGAATCGGCCTGAGGCCAGTCGAAACCAAATCGGAGGAAGGTGGAGAGAGCGTGGGTGGAGAGAACGACAGGGCAACATATCTGGAGTCGCTGGGAGTTGCAGGTTTCGGCGTGGAGGGAAGGAGTGGGGAAAGTTAACTGAGGGGACGGCGGGGATGGAAGGAATAAAGGGGTAGAGGAACGAAGGGGAGGCGAGGCGAGGGTGGGTCAGAGGAGGTGGAGCGAAGGGATCGGAAAAGTTGTTGCGGGGGTCGGAGGACGTCGACATCGGAAAGGTCGTTGACAATGAGGTGAGGATCAACTTCAAGAGTTTCAAGGACAGGTGTAGTTGCTTGCCCTCCCCTCTACATTGGTGCGGGCAGATGTTAAGACAAGTGAAGCTACTTGCCGACAGCGCCTCTTCCGTAATGTCATTGAATCCCTCTTGTCTTTCTTCGTCACTCTCTCCCTCCTCCCTCTGTCCCTCCTTCGCTCTCGGGTCTGGTGCGCCCTGGTGCCTCATCGGCTTCTGGAGGGGTGCTTAGTGTGGTGTCTGCTGCGATGTTGGTGTGGCCTCTGTCCTAGGCTTTCCATGCGGCTGTTCACATTATTCGGCTCTTCTGTGCTGTCGTTATGTTTCAGGTGGAGGTCTTCATCAGTATTTCTGCCACAGCTTGTTCTAGTGGGCCACATCGCGCGGGTGTGGATGGCACGCGTATCGCGTCGTGTTGCATGCGGCTACATTCTGAGCGGTGTGTTGAGTCAGGGGCGGCTGGCTTTGTTGCGGTATTTCGGCAAAGTGTGTTACAGTATGTGTTGTATCAATATATTTTTGTCTGGTTGGTGGTTGAAAGTAGCGTGCAGCTCGTCACACATCTTGAGATTACTGCACTGGGCGTTGCGATTACGTCACAGCGGATTGCATCGTGTCGGTTGTGCTTTCATCATTGTCATCCCAGCCTTTGTCTTCAGCGCGTTCGTGAAATGATCGGGCGGCCTACCCAGTAGTAGGATTTCGCCCATAGCAGAGTCAGAATCTCGTTCTCCGTTCTTCTCCTCTCCTCGCGGGGCGGGGGGCACCAAGGTGGCGGTCCAGCAGACCGGACACTGTCATCCGAATGTTTGTGCACAATCGTTGTTTCCTCCCTTGTCACTGTTTCTCTTTTCCCCCCTCCCTCTTTCTGCCTTCCCCCCTACCCCTCTCCCTCTTTTTGGGCGAGGCGTGCTTGCAATAATTTGGATTGCCTCCATGGTCGGAGTGTGGACAGCCGCCGTTGGGCGGGCTGCTCGTCACCACCCCTCTCGGGTGCATGTGCACCAGGTGCGGAAGGGGCACGACGCGTGAGGCGTTCCAGAAAGGGCCTGACCTTCGACGAGTGTCGAAGGAGTTGACATCTCTTCTTGGGCGGAGGGGCGGAAGGCGGCGGCCTTCTTCCCTGACCCCCTTGTCGGGAAAATCACGACGGGAGGTTTTTCGTAATTTTCGGCCTTCGGGGGCCTGCGCTGGGCCTCGAGACCGTCAACAGGCGATTCAGGATGAAAAGCCGGTCCAAGGGAATTGGTCGAGACCCGTGGGCGCACCCGAAAGGGGGCGGCAGAAGTTTAACGGGGGCGGCTCCGCCGGCAGAAGCCAGCGGAAGGCTAGCAGAAGCCGGCGGAAGTAAATATTGTTCCCCCAAGAGATTGACTGATTAACTGAAGCCTTGCGTCAAGCAAACGCGTGGGCAAGACTGCACGTTGGCAATCAGAAGAGACAGTCAACAAATACGCGCAATGAGATTACAGACCCGGGCAGGTCGCGGGAGGAGAAAAAAGGGGGGAGGGGAGGGGGAACGGGAGAAGGGGGCAGAGCGAGTGGGGGCTAATTCTGCACCCGTGCCAAAGTATACACGCATTGTGTCTCTTGCTGTCTCGGACGACCCCGGCCTCTACGCCGAGTAGCCCAATTTCTAAGGCGGCCGTTCGCATCGCACACTAGTTGTTTAACCAGTGAAGCGTCGCTCTTCAAAGCAATAGCTCTATGAAGTTGCACTTAGTGGTCACTCAGAACTGCAGACAGAGGCTTGGAACCCGCAGTTTCCAATACATCTGCATTAGACACCCTCGAGGAATAAGACGGAGCGACCCCACCAATCTTCCGCAAGCACTTACAGTGGAAAGCATCAAGTCTGCATTAGTCGGCCTTCAAAAGCCACAACGAGTCTAGCGAATACAGAAGGTTGCTGAGGACGCAGGACGTGTAGATCAGCAGCTTCCGCTGCTTCCAAATTGAAGAATGCCCCCAAATCGTACATAGTTGCTGAACAATAAATCTGCTTTCCGCCAACCGCCTGGTCAATTCATTGCCCACCCGTCCGTCTTGCGTAATCAGTCCTCCCAAATCTACCGCCTCTATTGCAACCTTGATCGGTTCCCCACCCGGCCCCGTGACTTGGTCATTGGTGGAGATCTTGTCCCAGTTCAGCTCCAAGCCGTGTTTCTGCCCTTCCGAGATGATAGCGCCCAGAATCTGGTGTAAATTGCCAACATGCTGCGATATCAGCGCTGTGTCGTCTGCATATAATATTCCCGGGTTGCTAAATATGCAGGTTCTTGGAGAAGTTGTAGGCCCAAGAACACGTCGGCCAACATCACCGTTTGTGCAATAATAAACAAATATGGCGACAGAGGACACCCTTGTGCGATACCAGCAGCCTGCAGCGTTCAGAAGAGTTAACACAATGGTCGACAATAGTAAAACAACGATGTGAGTAAATGCCTCTGACCATATCTTCTGCCACAACGAGGATGGAGGAGGCGCTGGTTATGTCGTGCAGTGACGCCCACATAGACGACTCCCGCCGGAAGGGCCGCCTTCTCAGAAATCTTGAGCAACGCGGAAGTGGCTACCAAGCTTGACGTTGCGGCTTTTCGATATCAAGTACGGCAAGTCACCGAAAGGCGTGTGCACGGGCAGGTTCGGCAATGGGAAGTACAGCGCGTGCCAGAAAGACGGAGATGACTGCGATCATCCAGGTGAGTCCACCATCGGCGATGACGATGTTGATGGGGGCGACCCAGGAGGCCGCGCACACTTCCAGGATTGCGACGGCGGCGAGCAGTCAGACGAGGAAGTTCCAGACCCCGGATCGGAGCAGGAGGGGCGCGAATTGCTCGCGCGCGCCAGCGGCGTGGATCGCTTTCGGGCACGTCGTCAGGCAAACGTGCGAAACAGGAAGAAAACACAAAAAAGGGCACTTGCAATGATCGCGGCGAGCATGACCGCGGGAGCGGCGACCCGGAATGCGCCGAGATCATGTTTGGAGAGGCGGCCGTGCGAGACATTGAGCAGCTGCTGCCACGTGGACATGAGGACTGGGACTGGGGATTCCTCCGCCCCTTCGTGCGAAGGTTTTCGGGAACTTCAATTCCGACGTGACGGGCGATGTGGGGGTAATGGGAGCGACGGCGACGGAGGCCCCGACCCCTCTGGCTGCGCGGTTCGACTCGTCGCCGACCGAGGCCCGGCATGACCTGGCCCCCCATGCGAGGGAGAGAGCCATCAACCGCGCGCTGGCCATTCCTACCCCCCCTGCGCCGCCAGGACAGCCGCCGCCCGTATATCGACGCGCAAACTCCGCGCGCTGGAAGACGACCTTCGACCATCTGCGCAACGAGCGGCAGACGTGCGCATTCTGCGTCGAAGGTCTTTAGCATTGCGACAAGAAGTGTGCAGGGCCGAGTGCTATGCGGGCGAGAAGGCCCGCCACTCCACAGGCATGGCAAACTTGTTTAGCAACGGATCAAGC